ATTAATTATATTATATATTTTATATAAAGCCCAAGATAGTTCATTTTTACTTAGTGCAGCTCACCTAAGCCAAAAGTTTAGACACTTATGCTTTAGACACTTAGATTTAAAGACAGGGAAATAAAATATACACAAGTTTATGGGAAAAATAGATTGAAGCAGGGCTGGGGATGTAACTCAGTGGTAAAGCACTTGCCCATCATGTGTGAGGGCCTGACTATCAGAAACAGAAAAAAAAAACTAGAAACAGAATAAACGATATTGAAGCATGGGGGGAAATATACCGTGACATTTTATAGAAGCAATTAGGAGAAATCTCCCCAAAACTTAGAAATCCAAGAAGTCAGTTCCAGTAACGACTGCTTAAGTGTATGTCATAATCGGTTGCCAAGGCAGCTGTCGTATGTTATGGAGTGAAGTAGCTCCCATTCACCTCTGAGTATGTTTTTGTTTCTAAACAAGAAGTCATCATGGGAAACCTTTTGTCCTTATTTTGGGAGAGGGATCCTCCCCCGCTACCTCTAAGTCATTATAACCCAGTTCAAGATTACGAATGCCAGAAGGATGACTCTTGTGGGGCGGTAGGCAGCTTCCTGCTTTGGTACTTTGTTATTTTATTGCTCCTGGTGTTCCTCTCTCGGGCTTCTGTCTTGGTAGGATATCTGTTTTCATTTTAAATAATATCTTAGTGTATACTAGGGGGTTTTGTTCATTAAACAAATTCACTTGACTTTGATGAAACTACTTTTTAAGTTTGTTTTTTAGTTTTAAAAATAATGCAATCTTATTCAGGAGAATCTGAGACATTGAAAAGGATGGAGAAGAAAATTTAAAAGTACCCTAATTCTTTATCACAGAGATAACCACTGTTAAATGTTTGGAGTATGTCCCTATAGGTTGTCTTCCTCCTCTCCTTTCTCCTCCTCTGCCTTTGCCTACTTCTTCCTCTTCTTCCTCTTTTCTCTCTTCTCTATCCCAGTATATCTCTGTCTTTCTATCTTCGCTCTTACGTGGTTGGTATTATATTGCGTATATTTTCATACCTGCTTTTTAAGCTTAATAATATATATATATTATATATATATTTTCTTAATAATATATTACAGGGCTGGGAATATTATGCCATGGACTGTTTCTCCTCTGCCATACCTCTTGGCCATGCCACCCTGCCTTGGAGCCACCTGATTATGGACTGAAACTTCCACAAACTGTGAATAAACCTTTCTTTCCTTGCGTTGTGAGTGTTGGATATTTTCCCAACAAAGAGAGAGTAACTAAGACACTCATATATATTTTCCCCTCCTAATGTACCCCATGAGCTACTGTGTATTTATTCAGTGCTTTAAAAAGAGAGTTCTACTGGTTGGGTATGGTGGCATAGTACTTATAATCCCAGCACTTGTCGGGCATGGTGGCGCATGCCTGTAATCCCAGCACTCGGGAGGCTGAGGGAGGAGGACTGTTGAGTGTTCGAGGCCAGTCTGGGCTACAAAGTGAGCTCAAGGCCAGCCTGAATTGCACAGGGACACCCTGTCTCAAATAGACAAAAAAAAAAAAAAAAAAAAAAAAAACCACAAAACCCCCAGCACTCTTGGGGGCTGAGGCAGGAATATTGTAAATTCAGCCCAGTCCTTCAATTTAGCAAGACACTGTCTCAAAATAAAAAATAAAAAAGGCCTAGGGATGTAGCTCAATATGAAGGTCCTGGGTTTAATCCATAGTACCACAATAAATGAATTAATAAATGCATGAATAAATAATAATGCTGGGAGTGATGACACATGCTTGTAATCCCAGCACTCAGGAGGCTGAGGCAGGAAGATCATTGTGAGTTCGAGGCCAGCCTGGGCTACAAAGTGAGCTCAAGGCCAGCCTGAACTGCATAACGAGACCCTGTCTCAAAAAGCCAAAAAAAAGGAAGACCTTGGTTGTATCCTAATTCCTACCCCCAAATACAGTCAAGTTGGAGGTGAGGGCTTCAGTATTTAAATTTTGAGCAAACATGATTCACTCTGTAATGCATCTGAACTGTGTATTTTAATTTACAGTGGTATGATACATCTAAAAGAGACTGATACAAAGAGCAATACTTATTTACTTATTTTTTGCTTTACAAAGTCAGCGTTTGCTATGTAGCCCAGGCTGGCCTTGAACTCAAGGTGAGCCTCCTGCCTCAGCCTCCATAGTACTGGGACTACAAGCATGCACCACCATGTCTGGCTCTTGATTATTGTTTTTT